GTCAAACTGATGTGATCAGTAAATACATCTTTTTAAACGCCACAACTTTTATCTGAAACATTTTTTTCTAAAATGCTTAGTTTTCGAGATATTTCACCGGTCCGGGACTTTTTGAACACCCTGTATATATATATATAAACTTACATAGAATTTTTATTACTTATTCAGTATTTATTTAGAATTTTTTATTTAACTTTTTAGTATTTCAAGAAAATTTTTATTTAACTTTTTAATATTTCAAGAAAATGTAAGAAAATGCAGTACTAAAAAGATAATTAAAAAATTCTTAAAAAATTTTCAGAGTTCTGCGAAAAGAAAATAGAAAATTTTTGTCTCTTGTTATTTTTCGATAAAGTTGATAGAATTCGAGTAAAAAAATTATTGCAACCAATAATTTTTTAGATATAGTAAATATCTTAGAAAATAGAGGTCGTACAAAAAATAATTTCAAACAAAAATTGTTTGTTTCTTTACTTAGAATAAAATTCCGTAATAAAAAATACATGTTTCTATTTAATAAAGTATTGATCTCTACCTGACGTTGGCGGCGCCATGCAAGGTCAAATCAATGGTATCTTCTTATGACTTCCATCAAATTATATAACTTTTGTCTGATATATTTTTGCTGAATGTGCTTGGCTGAAGAATTGTCAGGGTGCATCCTTTAAAATGAGACACCCTGTATACAAGGTGTCTCACCTAAACCAGCTCACCCAAATATCTCCTTCAATTTTCTCTTGCTTTGAGTAACTTATCACAAACGATAGATCAATGAACTGATAAATTGCTTGTAAATGATCAAGTCTTAAAGCTTTCAGAAGTCATTCGTAATGCGATAGCACTAGCAGAGTTGCTACAGAAAATCAATCTTGAAATTCCCTGACTTTTTCATGCTTTCCAGACGACAATGGAGAATTTTCCATGATCAATATATAATCTTCAATTTTAACGTTTGATAACAGGGATTACAGAGAAAGTAGTTTATGTTATTAAAAGCAATACAAATTTAGTTTAGTAACATAATAGTTCTAACATATATTCTTGAAAATTACATTTAGGCTAACAAAAATTATATTAGTATTGGAAAAAAGAATGTAGTTATGAGACGGAAAAGAATAATTAAATGAAAAAACGTTGAGTAAAATATAATTTTAGTTATTTTGTTAACATCATGATGTATAGACTAGCATAGATGTATACATATTCATTATAAACTAAGAAAATCTTATTTCTCGTTGAAATAACATTTGAATTCCTACTATGTCTATAAAGTTTTAATTTTAAAATTAAAAAAAGAACTTGACATATTAATAAAATCCCCAGTGACCTTTAGAAATTTAGTAACCTTTAGTGAAATTTAATAGGTATTTAGTAAGTATTTAGAGATTGAGAATTCTTCTCTTATAAGTCAGGAGTACTATTCTGTACACGCTTACTGACAACTGTCGGATCGGTAGGCACCGTTGTGTAACATTTCTATAGTATAAAAAAGCTGTGCGACGTCTACCGATTCGACAGTTGTCATGTACGAAATAGTATCCCAGAGAGGGTTACCTTAATTTCAAAGAATTATAAGGAAAGACCAAAATTCCAGATTATTTTATATTTTCCCCTGACATATTCCGATTTTCCATGACAAATTTAAATTCCATGATTTTTCGCGGTTTTCCAGGTCTATAGCAACCTT